TTAGAGTAAACATTTATTTGTCACATGATTCGCTGGAAATGGAGAACATTCCCTTAAATTCCTTCTTTGAATGTAAACTTTGTTGTGGTTGAATATTGAGCAGGTTACTGTTTCGATTTGTTTGTTTTACTTTTTCTTTTAATTCGATTTGAGAAAAAATGTTTTTCCATTTTTAAAACTATTTGATACTAATTTTTCCATAACATGTTTAAACCACAAGATTTAAGAGCACTTTGATATATTCTGTATATATTTATTTTAAAATCACAAGATTCAAAACAAAATTACTTTTTGAAACTTCATGTCAAATCCAATCAAACAAATGAACTAAAATGGATTAAGCACAACTTTTGCATTTGATCTTGAAAATTGGAGTCAAGGGTATAATAATGGCTTAGGACACAACTATCGAAATATTTTTCATTAATATGTAATGGCATAGATGAACATTTTCTCAATGAAAGTAGAATAAATGAATAAAATACTAATGAATGACCTAGATAAGTCTTTTCTCAAAGTTTGATAATATATTTGAAAAAAAAATCTTTCTTTTAAACAAAGTAGTAGTATTACCATTTACTAAGAATTGTTCTCTGTGAGTATGTTTTGTGTTTGAAAGGTATATCTTGTTCTAACTTAGTCTACTTGTTTTATTAATTTTGATTGGGTACAGACTAAATATGGAGATACATACGATTGTATAGATTTCTACAAACAACGTGCATTTGATCATCCATTGCTGAAGGATCATAATTTTCATCCTAAGGCATATCTCTACTCTATTTTCATTTCATTATCATTTTGTTCATATTGAATGTGATATTATTGACATGCAATTAAACATCTGATTGAACAGATGAAACCTACTTTATCTAGAATCAAGAAAGATTCAACTTTTTCATCAACAACTAATAGGTCATCGACAATATGGTCAAAAGATGGAGGATGCCCTTTTGGAACTATTCCTGTTAAGAGAATTACAAAAGATGATCTTATAAGATTAAATCGTATGCCCCCTCCAGAGGATGTCACATTCGACAATGAATATGATGTTGTAAGATAATTTATATCAATTTACTTCTATGTATCTTGCGTATTTCAAACCTAAAAATAATTTCCTTTTCTAATGCAGAGCAACAATAATAGTAGGCCAAATGGAAGATACATATCTTCACAAGTATATAAGGTGGTTTATGGCTATAATATTTATTTTTCAATGTTTATGTTTTATTTAATTGGGTTTGAAGTAATAAAGAAACAAATTATTCTTAGTTTAATTTGGATTCTCTATAAGATTTACTAAAAACAATTAAAAAAATTTATTTAGGTTGCAATAACTCAGATTTCATATAATCCCAATAACAAATTTGCGGGAGCCGGAATGGATACTACTGTGTACAATCCTCAAGTTAATGGACAACAACACAGTGGATCTCGGCTAAAAATTCATAAAGGATCAGATATCGTACAAGCTGGTTGGAGAGTAAGTTTATATCAATTTTTTATTCCATTATTCCATCGTTTGTGGAAGAAGGATGTGTGTTAACTATTGAATTTGGTGTTTTAAAGATGTATATTAGAAAATTTGTTAGCAAATGATGAATATTTAATAACAATAATATAATATCTTTGTTTCGTGCTTTAGGTGGACCCAACGTTATACGGGGATACAAACACTAGATTGTTTATACATTTCCAGGTAACTATCTTTCGTACCATGGTGATTTCCCTTTTGAGTTCATTATACTAGTAAATCTTTTAGTGTTTGTTTAGTGTGAAGGAAAATATTTTATTGAAAATGTTTTCTAATTTTCTCATGTCTATTGGCTTAAATGTTTTCCAAATCAATTTAATTTTCTTAAATTTATGAAAATGACTTTCCTTAAAAAATAAAGAAAACTTTTTTTCAAAAGCCTGCTTCATTCTAATATTACAATATTTTTTACCCTACCCCGCACTCGTACCCGACCCTCCACATCAAAAAAACAATCTTACTTTTTAATTTTAAATAATTTTTTAACTTTATCCCCAATCCCTAAATCAGACATATCTATTTTTGTAGGCTGGTGAAATTCGTTGCTTCAATACATTATGTCCCGGCTTTGTACAAGTAAACCATGACATACCCCTTGATAATTCACTCAATGATACTATTTCAGTACGTGGAGGAAAACTTTGGGGTTTGGTTGTACACATTGAACGGGTACATTTTATATTGCCTTTATTTTTCTTATTTAGAGTCTTTGAATATTTTATACAGATATAGGAATTATAATTAGGATATAACATAAATATTGTTATTGACAACTTATTATCATTTTTATTTTTATTTTTTTTAATAAAGGACTTGTCCGGAAATTGGTGGTTTTTATTGAGAAAAGACTTTACGCGAATAGGTTTCTGGCCACAAAGTCTCTTCACTGACTTGAAAAGTTTTGCTACGAATGTCGATTGGGGAGGAGTTGTATATAGTCCGTCAGGTGTACCAAAACCTCCGATGGGCTCAAGCTATTTTCCTATTGAAAATACTTCCTATGATTCTTATTGCACTGATCTTGCAATTGTCAATGAGAAAGGAAAAACAATTGAAGTAGATACAACAGTCACACATACCGATAATCCGTACAGGGGTGAATTTAAACTACTTTCACGTGGTACACAAAATAAATATTTTTTTATTTATGGGGGACCGGGTGAAAGTACACATGTTTAATAGGAAAGAAAATCTTCTAAATAATGAAAGAAGTTGAAGAAAATTGTTCCTATTTGTTCTATGTACACCTTTAATTTGAATGTTATATTGTCTTCCAAAGAAATGCAAAGAAAAAAAAAGAAAAATGATCAAAAATATCTCTCAATTTTTATTTATTTATTGATCTTCTCATTACCATTAAAATCGAGTTATTTATACTCTTGTTGTCTATAAACTTGTCTGTATCCCTCAATTGGATGAAAAACTAAAAATCAACAAAAATAATTTAATTTTATGAAATTACTGTATTTCTTTAAAAAGTCAAACCTGGCCAACTAATCAAATAAATATTTGCCAAATTAACCAAATACATCACTCTATTTTTAACGTCTTTACAACATTTTTCATCCATTTCCCCTCCTCGTCTTTTCTCTTCTATAATTGTTAATTATTCTATTTACTATTCGACTTGTTTTTCTTCTAAAGTGCTATTTATATTTCTCATTTTAAGACATTTTTTTCATATTTACCAATAATTACTCACTAAGGATAATTTACTCACTAAGAAAATGATTATATAAGTTCACATACTTTTTCACCTTAATGGTTGCACTAATTTAATCATATGCGTTTACATGATATGCATGTATTAACTTTGTGTAAACACTCAATACATGTAAATTTTATCCATACTTTTTCACCTTAACAAATTGTTATTGCACTAATTTAATCATATATGTTTACATGACATATTAACTTTGTGTAATCACTCGATACATGTAAATTTTATCCATAAAACTTTAATAATTTTTTTAAGAAATCTCAGCATACTACGAGAATAATTCATGCCAAATGAAAGATAAAAATAAAAATATATTCTAAAAGTAATTTTAAAGATTGGATAATTAAGTTAGTTTGATATATAAAAATATTTTAATAATTTAATTATTATAGAATGAAGGAGTTATTATTTTTTAATAAATATTCAAATTTATCTATATATATTAGATATTAGAAGAGGTGAAAAGCATCATTTGTCAGCGCCAAAAAAAAAACAATTTCTTAAATAATTAAAACTAATTATATTTAATATAATAATAATATAATTACTATTTTATATTTGAAATTATTTTAAATATAGTTATATGTAACGTGTGTGTGAGAAAGAGTGTGCAGTTCCTTTTTTTTTCTAAAGAAATATTTTAAGTCTTCTCAAAGCTCCTTATTTATATAATAATAATAATAATAATAATATAATAATAATAATAATAATAATAATCTTTATCTATATATAAATCTATATATATAGAATAGGAGAAGTGAAAACATCACATGTCAGCATCACAAAAACGAATTTTTGAAATAATTAAAACTAATTATATTTAATATAATAATATAATAATTAATATTTTATATTTAAAATTATTTTAAATATAGTTATGTGTAACGTGTGTGTGAGAGAAAGAATGTGCAGTTTCTTTTTTTTTTCTAAGAATATTTTTATGTCTTCTCAAACCTTGTTATTTATAGTATAATAATAATAATAAAAATAACAATAATAATAATAGTATTAGTAATCTTCTATCTATATATTAAAGGAGAATAAAAAGTTTTTTATGTCCACACAATAAATTTTCAAAATTTTAAACAATAAATAATCAACAATTGAATATTAAAAATCATCCATTGTTAATTTAAAACAGTTTTAACATCACTTTTTATACTATACACAAAAAAGTACTCCTTACTTATTGCAACTAAAACATAAATATATAATTTCCTTTTTTTCTCTATTTTATTAGTATTGTACTTATTTAAAATTCAAATCAACATCAGATTTTCAATTTTCTATATAACTATAATAAATTATTTGTAGTTATATTATATAAACAGTATTTAGAAAACAAAACAGTTATTTTGTAAAGCAAAATAACAAACTCCATATGTTTTTAAGAAAACGGTATTCTTTTAAAAGTAAAAGTTACAAAGAATTAGATTTGTAAAAAAATAAAAGAAAAACGAAGACATGTCAATGTTTCTAAATTTAAATTTTGATTTAAGGAAATAGTTATAGTAACGTCTAAAATATAGATAACTAATTAAAATACAATAATTTTTTAACAAATTCAAATAGGGTAATTTTTTTATATATAAAAAAAAGAATGATAACTATTAAGTGAATTATCAAGAGTCTCAGAAACTTAAACATACATTTTGCATGTGGCAGAACAGGCAACGAGCTAGAAAACAAGCTTGCATCAGTTAACGATTCCACTGATGCAAAATGGAGAAAACATGGCTGGTTCTGCTATCTCTAGAATGATTCCACTGCCTAGGAACTATATTTTTGGAAATGGCTCATATGGAACGACTAACAATGAAGGGATAATCGAACAAGTTCGGAGTCGAAGAGTTGAAAGTGGAAGTGAGATAGACAACAAAAAACAATATCTGCTTGATTTGGAGAAGATGCTAGGACTACTTTAATGATTAAAAACATCCCAAACAAGTAAGAGCCATATAACTTGTGAATTAGCGTACTTTAAGTTTGTGTGATTATTCAATGCTCAATGATTCATGTTCTTCCATTTGTTTTAGGTATACCTCAGGGATGCTACTCACAGCAATTGATGAGACTCATAAGAATACATATGATTTTCTCTACTTGCCTATTGACTTCAAGGTAGTACAGTATATTTCTTTTTTTATGTTTTCACATCTTACTGAAAAAATTTGAAGCCCGGAACTTATTTCTATGGTTTTGCTGCTTCAGAACAAATGTAACGTTGGTTACGCCTTCATCAACATGGTGTCTCCGCACTGTCTGCTGCTTATTTAGCTAATTTTTTTATAAGATGTTTGTTCCCTATTTCGTTTCTCGAGAATTGAGCCGTTTAAATTTATCAAAAATTTGTTCACGAGATCCTCGTTTTTTCGAAAATAAAATTATACATTTACAAATTACTAAAATATATTAAAAAAGTAACAATAATTGATACTTTAAAATATTTTAAAAATGTGTGAAATTTTTTATAAATTGAAGTAAAGAGACTACTTTTTAAAAAGTTAATCGGAATAATATTTGAAACTAAAATAATATTTTAAATAAAAGTGAAAATCCTATAAAAAAAATTGTTTAAATTATGATTTTCTCAGGACACTTTAATTAGGAGAAGCGAAAAATGACAATTACCATTAAGAAAAAAATACTTTTTGGTATTTAATAATGTAATTATATATAATGTCTAAGTAAACACAATAAGAATAAAATATTAATAAATAATTTATGTAATTTAAATTGGAATTAGCACAAAATGATATTATTAATTATTTTGAAATGAAATGCTATGAAACTTATTTTTTCGTATACTCTGTTTGAAAAATTATTTTCCTAATAGGAAAATTTTCAATTCGTAATCATCAAAATGTCTTTGAATTATATTTTATTCTATAAATAAAAATAATAAAGCAAAACGACTTTCTTCTTCACAATATTCACGCTAATTCAATCAGTCATGAGTCAACTAGCCATTGACTAATTTGTAAAAATAAATACTTCATAATATTTTTTTAATTAGTAATTAACCTACTAAAACTTGCTTACTTAAATTAATCATATTAAAAATAGACAATATTCTGTGACACATATTGAACTCATCTTTTTGTTATATCCGCAAAATTTACTTTCTTTTATTCGAATATAGAATTTGATTCTTGCTAAGAATATCATATCTTTGTATAAAAAAACTAACTTCCTTTTTTAGAAAAAAACAAACAAACAAAGAAGTCTAGAAAATGATATTTCCTTTATCCTTTCATCACATATTTATGATCGAAACAATTTAAGTTATGTATGAAAATTTCTTAAAATTATTATATTATCCTTACTTATTATAACAATTAATTTGTCGTATATTTAAGATTTAAAAAATTATTAATATGTTTAAAGAAACTTATTCTAGATATGTTTACTCTCTATATATCTCTAAGTATTTGTCCACTTTTGAATTGACCTATCTATTAAGAAATGACATAATAAGTTCATTATTGTACTCCTATTAATTATTAAGTTAATGAATTAAAAACTTTAAATTTTCAAGAAATTCTACTTTTTTTTCAAAATAATTAATTGAAAGTATCATAGGTAAAACATAATTTTTTTTTGTCTTTTCTTAATTTATCAAAATAGTAAGAACAACTAAAAAGAAAAAGTGGACAAGTCATTAGTAACGAAGAGACCGAAAGAGTAATTTCAAACATGTTTTTCATTGTACGCAATGAAAAGAAGCATCATCATGCAAGTGTTTCTTATAGTTTCACATTATCAAAATAGAATACCTACGTTCTTATTGCATAATGGAAAAATAAATTTCGTTATAACAGTATTGAAAGAGTCTTGGAGGAGGGTTGAAATCTTTGCTAATAAAATAGAATACCTACGTTCGGAAGGAATATTTAATTATGCCATTCGGAAGTTTGTATAATAAAACAGCATGTTGAAAGTTTGAAACTCTGCCTTCTAAATAAAAGATAAAAGAAATATTTAATTTTATTCATTATATTTAATATTATATTTTTCATTAAATAACATAGACTTCAAATCTCTCTCAGTTTTCAACATTATCAGAATTGGGAACTCTCTTCTTTGCCCATTTTTTCCAAATTTTCACAAGTGCAAACATCAGAAAGAAAAGAACAGTCATCACAGCAGCAGCGATCAGAGTTTGAATCATGTACCTAGCTGTAAATTGATCATTATTCCAATTGTCCTCTTCTGTAGAAGAATACGTTTTGTTATTCATCTGCAATCAAATATTAGATTAATAAAAAAAGAAACGGTAGAGTATAATTTTTACAAATATATTGTCGATAGATCATATGCAAGAAAACAAAATATAAAGTTATCAAACCTCTTTTCCAGTTACATTCTATATATCTTGTGAAGAAATGAAAAAAAAAATGGAAGAGTAATGCATGCAAGTTGTATATATGTATACGTACTAAGCATGAAAATGATTCATGAATAAATTTAGCCTGACTTAACAGAGACAATACAATATATGCATAAAAGCAAATGACACCAAAAAGAAGAATATAGAAGAAGATGCATACGGGAGAATTTTTTATGATAATCAAACAAGAAATATGTTTTGTTATGTTAACTAAATTACTCAAAGCCTTAATATTTATACACGCACGCTCGACCAAAATGGTTAAACATTTAACTATACTATGTTTTATCTTTAATATCTTCTTTTTATATATTTTTGAACATTTTATTGAAATTAATTTTAATTTTTGTGAAAAATTTGTCACGGCATTTCCTTGATATCTATTTTTTTATGAATAATAAATCTCTCTTATTTAAGGGACCTTTCCTAATAATGGCAATTAGTATTAAATAATCCTAATATAATTCAACATGGACGCATTTGTAAGTTACACGTCCTTCTCTACATATTATTTTATCACATCGAATCTTTATATAACAACACTTGAATTAACAAAACATTATTTTTAATTAACTAACTAAGAATTATTCCTGTTTCACATTTATATAATAATCTTGATTTCTAACATATAACAAGAGTTTTACAAGTCATTAATTCTTAAAACTTGCCTTGGACTCAATACAGAATATTGTTATAGGCATGTGGATAAACTTTTCATATTAAAAGCCGAAAAAAAAGAAGAAGTTACGTGTATGCAAGATTGATAGTGACAATTAGTTTTTAATCAAAACTAAAAAGCAAAAGTGCATTATAAGGTTGTTGATTATGGTTAGGCTCCATTAGACAAAATGACAAACAAATTAAAAACAAGACAAACAAAGATTAGATATTATTGAATTACTTTAAGGATTTAAACTAATCGAAGAAATCAATTATTTTAAGATTTCTTAAAATTAATGCAGAATGGAAAAAAAAAATATGTAGGAAAATCAAATCCCTAGCTAATATAAACCACAAAATCAAGATTCTTGGTCATCCAATTAGTAATCTTAATAGTATATAATAGTGTGGTCCTATTTCATAATAATACTACAAAATGTTGACCCCCAAAAGCAACAATTGTATGGGCCCCATAAACAAACAATTCTGAATTTTTTAAAGGCTTTATATAACAAAACATCATTTTTAATTAACTAACTAAGAATTATTTCTGATTTCATATTTATCAATAATTTTGATTTCTGACACGTAACAAGATTTTTATAAGTCATTAATTCTTATAACTTGCCTTGGACTCAATACAGAATATTGTTATAGATGATTGTTATAGGTGTGTGAATAAACTTTTCATATTAAATGCCCTTCAAAAAAAGAAGAAGTTACGTGTATGCAAGATTAGTCGTGACATATATTTGATAATTGGCTAAAAGTATATACTTATAGCACATTATCATAACGTATATCTAAATCATAATTATGTTGATGCATCTTTATTTTGAATATCTTTACACTTAAATGTTTATATTTTATTTGGTTTGAGAAAGTAATAATTGTTACTTCTTGATGTCATTTGACACTAGAAGACCTAAAAATGCAGCATACATCCCCCAAATAAGGGAACAATGAAAGGCACCTAAGCCAAACCAAAATTATGAGTCCCAAATGTGACCAATTTGTGTTCTACCACCATAATGAGAAAAAAAGAGAAGAAAGAAGATATACGGGTGACTGAATTGATACAATAAATGGTATTCATAAAGGAGGCCAGAGATTTGATTCTCTCTGTCAACGCTCATGGAGTCGATCACTCTAAACATGTCTTATGTATGGTTTAACTTATGAGTTATACATGCACAAAAAAATGAGTTTATTATCTAGTGTTCATTCAAAGAATAACGACAAAAAATTTTTAAAAAAAGGGTCAAATGCCCCTACACTATTGAAGTAGAATATACACCCCCTTGTTTGCATTTTGGCACAAAAATGCCTCTATCGTTAGCCAAATGAAACAAATATATATGCCTTAAACTATTGATATAAACTAATTATACATTTCATTTACTTTTTGGCACAAAATATCCTTATAATAACTAATATGTGCCTCTCCACTCACATACTTCACGTCAGACATATTTCAAAAGGCAAATGAAGAGTTTCACATCAAATGTATAACAATGAGTTCATAAGGTAAACAATATCAATTCAACATAATATCCTCCACTTAATTCACTAAAATATATACATCTTCTGATCGAAATATATATATATATATATATTTTTTTTTTTAAAAAAAAAAATGCTAAAATCTTATTAACATCAATTAATTTTGATGTGTAGAAAAAAATGGGAATAACAATTTTATACAATATACTATGAATGTAACCGACGAAGAATAAAAAGCCAACGATATTGTTCTTGATAAAACTTATTGGTCTCTCCCCGAAATTATATATAAGTGTTGACGTGACACTTTTATGTGGTAGGGTGTGATTTTGATTTTAACAAATAAAAAATGAAGTAACTTTTTTAATTTATATGATCGTATTTAACTGAATATATGTAATGGAAAAGGAACAAAACTAATCTTAAACTATTTGAAATAAATTAAGTATATTCTTGAACTATCTCAGGGGCGGCTCCATAGCTTAAAAAAAAAAAGGCAATCGCCTCATGCCCCCAAAATGAGGGGCCTCATTTTTTAAAAAAAAATTATAGGTTAATGTCTTTTTTAAAAAAATAATATTAAGTATTATTTGTAGAAAATAATTTTTTTATATAAAAGAGTAAAGAAGTAATAGAAGTTTGACAAATTATGAATGCTATATCTCAAGAAAGATTAAATTATTGACTATAATAAATTTTATAAAAATATATACTCAAATTTAAGGCTTCCATTTGAATTTGATTTTAGGCCACCAATTTACTAGAGCCGCTCCTAAACTATCTTTCGACCAAAAAATACTCTTCTCGTCTAAGTATTGAACCATAGTTACCTTTCGGTTTAACGGAAGAGTTATGTGGCATTCATGTGTGCATTAAAATACCACATGAATGTCTAATTTGTCATTCTATATAGATTCATAATTTGTACTATATACAACAACAGTCTATATGGTATAGCCGTTATGACTAAATAAAATAGAACCAATATTTTTATATAAATATAGTACAAACAAGACGAATTTAGTGAACCTTTGGCTATCGACTCCTGTACAATAATTGTTTCAAATTTTTAAGTTTGATAAAATATTGTTTTATAAAGTCGGAAGCAAATTGGATAAAAAAGTGAAAGAATAAAAAAAAAGGAATGTGAGCATTATTATTGCACTATACCAACGACTTTTTGGCGATAGGATTGCATTGCTTACTCAAGACAATTAATTTTGTACTTTTAAGTAGTCTCCAATTTAATGAACTTTTTGTTAATCAAAACTAAAAAGCAAAGTGCATTATAAGGTTGTTGATTATGGTTAGGCTCCATTAGACAAAATGACAAACAAATTAACAACAAGACAAATAAGATTAGATATTATTGAATTACTTTAACAATTTAAACTAATCGAATAAATAAATTATTTTGAGATTTTTTAAAATTAATGCAGAATGGAAAAAAAATTATGTAGAAAAATCAAATCCCTAGCTAATATAAATCACAAAATCAAGATTCTTGGTCAACCAATTAGTGTTCTTAATAGTATATAATAGTGTGGTCCTATTTCATAATAATACTACAAAATGTTGACCCCCAAAAGCAACAATTTTATGGCCCCATAAACAACTAATTCTCAATTTTTTTAAAGGCTTTTTAATACGTTTCGCTATTTTATTGGGTCACATTATTTTTCCAGCTAATACGAAAAATTGTTAATAATTCCAAATTTCATAGCTTTATTAATACATAATATATTATATACAATCAAATCTTGTTATATATAATAACATTTCACGACATATGATCTAGATTTTTTTAAGAATCTAATTACATGTTATATTTATTTTTCTATAATATTAATTTATTTATTACAACAATAATATTTATTCGGGTGATATATCCTCTATAACGGTTATAATCAAATGTTGAGTAATAGTAATACTTTTATAATAATTATTGATCCATAATATTATGTACATACTAAATTTCGAATAATAACATTTTTAAAAAAATAATATACGTATATAATAATACCTTAGTAAAAAATTATAAAATTTTCATATAAACATTATCATTAATATAATGGAGTTTGAAAATATATTGCTTCATACGAAAAAAATAAAATGTGTGTGTCTTTGTTTTTTCGTTTGCTTGCACGTTATAAATCTATATTTGACAAGGACAATTAACAATAATTAAATATTAATTGTTCAATGAAAGATGACACAGGTTATATTTGAATTAACGTGCATGCAAAGTTAAATATGAAAGCAGTATGATTCCTTTTATTTTTTTGTTATCTTTGAGTTGTTTATAGTTATTTATTTTTTACAATATAGATAGTTAATTTTCCATCAAAGATAATGATATAATACTTTAATTACGATGTGCATTTTGAAGCTTCCACAAATTAAATGAGTTATATAAAAAAAGTTGTAAGTTAATTGCGATTTCATTGCACTAATTTATTAGGTGTGAATGAGATTTTTTCTTACAAAGGAGAAGGGGAAAGAAGACAATTTGCACCACTAATAGATTTAGTTATTTTTACTTTTTTTCAAGTAATGTTAATTTCTTGCTTTACAAAAATAATTTTATTTTGAAAAAAAATTATTTTCTCCTTGAAAGGCCTAAGAAAAAATTTATTTATGTGCAATTAATTTTTAAACGTAAGTAAAACATGATAACACTACTCTATTTCCAGTCGCAAGCAAGAAAAAAAGAAGACCAATAAGGCTCATTTCCCTTAAATCATAAATTTTAATATTGAATTACATGATTGGAAAAACTTAACAAGACGAATACTTTCTCCTTTATAAGTGTGACAATTTTTTAAGAAACCAATCTGATAAAAACGAGTCAAGTAAAATTGACCAAATTTCTAAAAATAAGGTGCACATGATATTTTAATCTAATTTTATATTGACAGACCTCAAATTAACATAACAATTACATTTTTAATGCTTAACATGACATTAATTGAAAGAATCACACGAGCTCCTTTATGACAATAAGCTTTACCCGATATGAATTTATATTTATCTTATCAAATATAACAAATTTATAATAATTTGACTTAGTAAAAGAGAAATTTGTACAAAAATTTTGACAAAATTATCATCACCTTACCCTACCCCCTCTAACCCTATGGGGTCTGGGTGGGTGGGTGGGGTGGATTCTTTCCGGCTGTACTACTCTTTCTCTCATACGGTGCTTTGCTTTGCGGATTGCTTATCTCATTCCCTGCTATTCGCAAGCTTCTAAAAGATACAAATAATTCCATCTATTTATATTAAGAGGATAAAATATATATAAAAAAATTATATTGTTCTTAGACAAAGTACTATTTTTTTTATA